CCCCCGCCGGCCAGCCGGGGGCCCCACTCGGGGCGGGGCCGGGCGAGGCAGCCCCAGGGCGAGAGAAGGCGGAGCCCCAAGCAGGAAGACGGGAGCTATCACGCGCCGTAGCGGGGTGGGGAGGGGAGAGCGTGGTGGGCGGGGCCATGACATGACACCAGTACGTTCTGTGAACGTAGGAAGGGGCGGGCAAGGCGGGGGGCGGAGCACCGTGGGACTGTTATTTAGGTTGGGCGAAGAATAACGGTCCCCGGGATTGGGTGGGGCTCGGGTGCGCTCAGGGGGAAGACTTGCTGCCGTTGCGGCGGTTGGAAAACGGGCGTGGGGCTGAGGGTGGACAGAAGCCTGCCGAGGAAAACAGCCCCGCCCCTTTTCCCCGGTCACGAAGGCCGGAAGAGAGGCAGCCTTGCCCCCTTGTTCTCCCACGGCCTCGGGGGCAGCGGGCCGTAGAGAGGGCTAGCCCGCTGATTGGCTGCTCGCGCTTACGTGGGTGATGACGTGAAGGCGCTCAGGCTGTTCGGTCCAGGGGGAGCCCGTTAGTCTGTTTCAAAGCCAAACCAAGCAGGAGTCTGGCGGCATTTACAGTCTAACACCCGCTGTTCGGGTATCAGCCAGTGGGTCGTAACCTGGGGGTAATTGCTCCTCAAGGGGGGATTTGGCATATTTCAGAGAGTAATGACTTGGTCAGCTTCACACAGTCTGATAAATAGAGAATTATCAGTGCAGAAAAATACTAATTATATTATTAGATTGAACTAACACAAAGTATCAGTGACCGCACTAATTTAATTTACTTTATTTAACAATATTTTATTATATTTCCTTCTGAGGTGATGCAGTATGAATCCTGCAGTAACAGTGTGCATTGCAGCACACCTTGATCTGACTTGCAGAGTTCAATCCTGTTCCTGTTCAATTCTTATAAAACCACTGGCAAACCCAATGAAAGATCATTTTTATTCAGCCTGGGTAATGAAATATATGCAGAATTTTCCTGCAGGATGACAGAGTGACATCATCCTTATTTCAGCTAAGTTAATTTTATGTGACAGAATAAGTAAAGGAGAAAAGAAGGAAGGTGGTGATGGGAAGGACTAGCATTCAGCAGTGTGATCCAACACGCACTGGCTGCGTCTAAACTGGCATGATTTTCCGCAAATGCTTTTAACAGAAAAGTTTTTCCATTAAAAGCATTTGTGGAAAAGAGCGTCTAGATTGGCATGGATGCTTTTGTGCAAAAGCACTTTTTTCGGAAAAACGTCCATGCCAATCTAGATGCGGTTTTGCGCAAGAAAGCCCTGATCTCCATTTTCACCATCAGGGCTTTTTTGTGCAAAACAGTTCTCAGTTGTCTACACTGGCCCTCTTGCGCAAACGCAATTGCGAAAGAGGGCTTTTTCCCGAACGGGAGAGTCATTGTATTTGTGGAAGAACACTGACAATCTTACATTAGATCGTCAGTGTTCTTGCGCAAATTCAAAGCGGCCAGTGTAGACAGCTGGCATGTTTTTCTGCAAAAGTAGCTGCTTTTGCGGAAAATCATGCTAGTCTAGATGCAACCACTTAGTTTAGGCATGTGTCCATGTTGCTGGTTTTATTTTGAAAATAAAAATGCAAAACTAAAGTTAATATACTGAATATTACCGATAATGCAATATAAAATATTTGAGTTTTCATAGGAGAGTAGCAGTTGACCAATCAGAGTAACAAGAGAACTCCATGCAAAAAGGATAGCATGAAGAAAACCCAGATACATCTCTGGTGAAAGAGATGAAGGGAGATGAAAACTTATTTTTCCCTGGCTGCAGATTGTCATAGAAAACCACTGATTTTTTTTTTAGGCTTTGATCATTTACAATACTTACATATATGCTTAACTTCACACAATGAGTAGTTCAGTTGATTTAGTGTATTATCTCTCAAGCTCCAAAAAATAAAGCTGATTTCACGGATCAGGCCTAATTTCACCTGGACATGTTTGTACAAGAGGCTGAGTTAATAGCCTCTATTCAGTTGTCAGTGGGGAAGAAAAAAGTGGCTGTGAAGGAGGTTGTAAACTCCTACCACTGTCAATAATGCTGAAAACACACACAATCCTGCATTAGCATTATATCAAAACACTTTACTATGTTGATTATATTTTTAAAAACTTATTGAAAATATAGAATTTCATTTTAAAATGTAATGTTTTGCTGAGCAACAGCACAGTTTTGGGCTTTACAGGTCCTGTTGGGAGCAGAAGTCAGTGACTTGGAATTTGGTATTGTTTTAGTGTAATTTTCACAGAAGATGAAGAAATGAGAGACACTCAAGGGCTCATGGGCACCTCTGGAAGTCTAGTCCATCCCACTGTGCTGAGGCAGAAGTAAGTATACTAGACACCCCCTAATAGGTGCTTATCAAACCTGTTATTAAAAATCTCTAATTATAGGAAGGTTGTGAAATTCCCAGATTATCTACTTAGGTACTTGATTATTCTTATAATTAGAAAGTTTTTCCTATAAAAAAATCAAACATAGAAAGAAGTTGCAGAATGAAGCATATCAAATATTAAGAAATTTTAAGGAAAGCTATATGCAGACAAAATTAAAGCACTTAAAAGAATTTGAATATTCAGCAACCAATTTTCACAAAAACAAGAAAGGAAACAGGCAATGTTATGCAAGTCAGTTATAGCAAAAACAAACAAACAAACAAACCAACCTTTGCCTTTGGCCTCATTCAGAAGGAGAGTTTGTAAAAGACTATCAGTGCAATTGCAGCTTTATTGGCGCCAGAGAAAATTAAATTATTTGGGAATGTGAGCTTATCTCACAGGACAGTGTCAGATTGAATTTATGATATGGCTCAGGATATTGAAAAGTCTCTGAAAGATTCTGTGGCTGATCTTGAGTTTTTCTCTCTGGCTATTAATGAGACAACAGACATAAGTACAGTCCAGCTGGCTATTTTCTGCATGGAATCACACCAAGTTTTGAGATTCAAGAGGATTTGCTTTCTTTATTATCAATGCACAACACCACCAAAGGTGAAGACATTTTTGAGAAGGTTACATCAGCAGTACACAAGTTTCAATCATTATTAGAAAAATTGAGTGGTTCCAGCTATGGTTGGATCTCAGAAGGGATTAGTTCCCTTAGTCAAGAGAGAAAGAGATCATCTTAGACATGATCCAAGTAAGTTGATTGTGTATCATTACATCATTCATCAAGAGAATCTGTTCAGTCCTTGCAACTAAACAATGTAATGTCGATTGCAGTATCAAGCATTAACTTTATCAAAAGTAAAGGACTAAGCAGCCCCCAGTTTAAAGAGCTATTGAAAAATCTTGAATCAGATTATGGTGATAACAATAATAAAGTATAAGTGCAATGGCTGAGCTAATGGAATATGCGGATGTGGTTTTACAAACTGAAGAAAGAAGTAAACTTTTCATGGCGACAAAGGGAAAAACCTGTGGCTGAGTTGTGTGATGCCAAATGGCTATGTGATCTGGCATTCATGGTTGTGTTAGTACAGGCAGTCCCCGGTTTACGAACAAGATAGGGACTGTAGGTTTGTTCTTAAGTTGAATCTGTATGTAAGTCGGAACTGGCGTCAGCCGCTGCTGAAACTGATCAGTTTCAACCGC